AGAGCTGCCATAGTGCCACGGTTTGGGGGGAGGGGTGCTATGCAGTGTCACATGTCATAACCATGAGCCAGGGACCCTGCCCTTACCCTGGGTGCGGACAGGCTCAGAGACGGGGCTGGGCTCACTGAGGCCCCAGGCTCCCACCGCTCGCACCAGGAACAAGTAGATGGTGTTGGGCTGCAGACCACCGACGGTGTGTGTCTCCAGCTGCACGCCATCTGCCACTGTCCGCCATGTGTTGCCAGCTGCTTGGCTACAACGGGAATGAGGTGGCAGAGTTGTCTGAGCCAGGGACCCCCAACCTGCCTACTCCATCTCATCCATTCTCGTTGGCCCCCTACTGCCTCCTCCCCCGGGGGAAAGGGAACTGGCAAACCTCTCCCCAAAATAGCAAAGACCCTAAGGACACAGACCCCCCCCACCCCGCCCTGAACTGTCCAGGTTTGCACTCACAACCTTCTCTGTACCTGAAAGCCTCTATCAAGTAAGAGGTAACTGCGGCCCCAGCCTGCGGGTTGGGCTTCCAGGTCAGGGTCACGCTGTTCTTGGTGACCTCGGTGACCACTGGCTGAGAGGGAGGCCCCGGAGGGGTGCTGGGTTCTGGAGGCGGGCCTGGTAATTCTCCCCAGTCTTCTGCAGTGAGGAGATCATCTTTAAGGAGAAGACTGGGAAAAGAATGTAACCTGCCGCCTTCCCAGAGGGACGGTGGAGCTGAGACAGTGCTGATGGTGGACAGAGGGACATAGTGCACTAACCTCTACTCACATCTGCCTCCCAAGGGCACCAATTCTGTCCTCCTCCTCCTCCCACTACCAAGGCCATGGCATTGGGAAGATAAAATCAGTCCTGGGATTTGGCGCCGCATATTGGCTGCCTTTGAAGAATGTTTGGAGAAAGGTGCTGGCAAAGAAGGGAACAAAGGAGAAACTCACCCCGCCTCCTAAGCCAGGCACTCCACGTGGCCTCCCCTGTGGAACTCCTGGCCACACAGCTGTAGACGCCCATGTCCGTCTCCTGTAGGGGAGGGTAGAGGACTGGCAAACTGGGAGTGGAACAAGGTAGGGTGAGAGGGTGCAGCACGGCATTCAGAAGGATGGGGAGGATGTTGTGCACGCCAGGTGGTCTGAGAGCAGATGGTTAGAATGAAGCTAGAGTCCCAGCGGGTGCTTAACGGCAGTTGGCCATTCTCAGTGACCTGGGCCCGGGGTGAGACTCACCTGCACGTTGGTGATGTGCAGGGTACCATTGGCCATTAGGTTGAGCTGGAGGCCATCCCCCTGCAGCCACTGCCCGTCCTTCTTCCATTGGACGCTGGGTTGAGCATCCCCGGTCACTCTGCATGGCAGCCACACAGAGGAGCCAACTGCCAGTGTCTGATTTGCTGGTCCCTGGAGGATGATGGGAGGCAGCCCATCCATCGAGGCTGAGAGAGGAAGAACTTGGGTACCTCAGAGGAGGATCCCAGGTTCAGGCAACCAGCTCCTTGTCCTCATTCTCTGCTCGTTCCCAGAGCCCCCCCACCCCCACCCCCGCCCTGGGATTGAAGGGGCTTCCATAACCAACTATAGTCTCTGCCTGGAACCAGGAATCTATTATTAGTGGCTTCTTTCAAAACTTGGAGGGCATGTCTCAGGAACATGCCCCCACTCCCCTTGCAGACATATTGTAGAGAATCCAAGATAAAACATCTCTTTCAGCCATTATTTCCTTCCAGGCCTTTGGGTCCCATCTTATCTCCATAGGCACATACCTCCTTTTACCTTCAACAGGGCCTTGGCCAGGATGCTGCCAGCCACACTGACCGCCTGGCACACATAGTAGCCAGCATCCCCACTCTGCACGTCAGTGATGTTGAGCTGGCCTCTGGGGGAGACTGAGAAGCGCCCTGCGGGCTGAAGGGACTGACTGGGGAAAAGCAGCACCTGGGGACAGAGCAAGGAACCACGGTAGGGACTGAGCAGGCAGCTCCCCGTTCCCGTCGACACCAGAACTCAGAGCGTCCCCAAGGTTCTGATTCATGCTCTGTGCCCAGCCAGTTATGTGACCTTGGGCGAACTAGTTAAACCTATTCACACACAAAAATGAGCGGTGTGATTAGATGATTTGGGGATGTACTCCCCAGCTCTGTGCAAGCTATTTGAACTTCCTGAGCCCAAACTTCCCCAAATAGGACTCTTAGAGGATAGTTATGAAGATTAAATGAAGTAATCATATGACACTCTTAATACATTGCGTGATAAATGTTACATACTCTCCCCTTCTTTCTGGCTCTAACATTTTACATTGGATACATACACGGAAGGTAGTAGAGTAGGTGTGGGTCTCAGGACATACATGTAGCACCATGCTGAGCCCCTGACTCATACCTACTTCCACCCTCTACCACCACCAGCACTTTTATTCATTTCAGAATCTAATGGAAACACAGCAGACTCCGATGCTAGAGCAGATGTTGGGGGAAATTGTGGCTGTGGATTTGGAATGAGGTCATAGTGGCCTGGTTTCCCAGCGGGTGGAGTTCATCAGACTTATTTTGTTATACTGATCTTGTTTTCCAGTAGCAAAATTCCCGCCTTTCCCTTACAGGAAGTTACTTATGTTGTAACCTCAGTTAATGTTCATTCCAGGTGTATGTTCTGGGATTTGTTTGCTACTATTGCGCGCCCCCTGGTGGAGGCCTCTTATAAATAGAAAAGCAAGTCATAGTCTACCCTCCGCAGCTTTGATTACAGAGCTATTTGCTTTCTAGAGCGATGTAGGAAGCCGAGGCCCGACGGCCTGGGGAACGAGGGATCTAATTGAATTTGCTGCATCCTCAGGACATCCTTGACCCAAAGAGAAAGATTCTGAGGAATTACTGCACAGGACTGTTCCCTGCCACCTAAATATATTACCATTTATTTTAAAAGTGTTAGCTATGTCTCAGGCCTTTCATATTAATTATCTTATTTAATCCTCACAAACAATCTGCAAGGGCTCCTGGGAGGACCAAAGGTAAAACGGAACCCTGAGAGCAGTTTGCAGAATGTAGAAGGAGGGGGGCGAGGGCCCGAGGGGAAGCCGGTGGGGAGCCCCTGGCGTGGGCACCTACTTGACTTCCCTCCTTCTGCCAGAAGATGGCAGGTGGGGGGTTTCCTTTGGTCTCGCACTGAAACGTCACGCTCCCTCCAGCGGCTGCCATCTGGTCCTGGGGCTGGGTCACCAGCTGGGGTGGGACTGGCAAGGGGTTGGGCGGAGATAAAGGAACAGGGAGTCAGGGGTACGTAGAAGGGAGACTGAGGGAACAGGAGAGAGACGGCCAGGCTTGGCTGAGGTAGGAGCAGATTCTCATCCATCTCTTGCTCAAGTCTGTTTCGCTGTCTCCTTCTCTCTCTTGTCCAAGTCTCAGGTGACCCCACATCTCCTGCCTGTCCTTTCCTACGCGGCCCACCCCCCATTTCCCTCACCTCACCCCTGCTGCGGGCAGAACCAAGGGGGGCCTCACCGTGAACGCTGAGGGAGCCAGCCGCTTCCACTCGGCCCACGCTGTTCTCCGCCACACAGGTGTACGTCCCCTCGTCTTCAGCACTCACGCGCCCAATCCAAAGGCTGTGGTCACTCCGGATCTCATACCTGCTCCACTCCCCACCCCCAGGCTGGGTTGGCCATAGCTACAGACCACTTCTGTCTCCCCCAGGACAGACACCAGGGACGAGGCAGGCCTCAACAGGGACAGGAGCTCGATGAATGGAGCTGGGGACTGGCTAGGGTAGCGCCACAGGCTCTGGGGAACAGACTTCTCTGTGTGAGAGGGTCTCTGCCTCCCAGTTTTCCAGGGCGGGGTACACACTCGGGCGGGTTGGCTCTCCTCACCTGCCTGTGGGCAGTTCTCCATCCTCCTTTCGCCAGTGTAGCCGAGGGGGGGGATCCCCTTGCACCTCACAGGGGAAATGTGCAGGGGCGTCCGCCAGGACCACCTGATTCACCGGTCTCCGCAGGAATGAGGGGCGCTCTGTGGTGTGGGGGTGAGGGAACAGCCAGGGGTCTGCAGGGCTGCGTGCTTCCCCGGCGCCATGCTCCCCTAACTCCAAACCTCCGCGTGCCTACCCTGTACCACCAGCTCGGCCGGCCCGCTCTCCCGTTCTCCTGCCATGTTGGAGGCCACACACACGTACATCCCTGCGTCACTCTTGTGTGCATGTGACATCATCAGCTTCCCTCCACGGATCTGCGGGGTAATCACAGGAACTCTGGTCCTTTACAGCCACCAGAGCATATTTGTTTGATTTTCACAACAAACCCAGGAAGAAAACCAGTGACGTTGGTCCATTTAGATAAGAAATTGTCGCTTTGTCCAAGGTGGGGCTCAGGTCTGTGGTTTCTCCCAAGGGCCCCTGGGGCACCATGCTCCACCCCCATACCAAGTCCATCCTACCCAGCCTCATATCCCTCACTCAACACCTGGCTCTCCGCCTCTAGCCAACGGATGCCCTGATCTCGCTATCTTATACCAAGTCCATCCTACCCAGCCTCATTTATCCCTCACTCAACAGCTGGCTCTCCGCCTCTAGCCAACGGATGCCCTGATCTCAGATCTCCTGCCTTATCGCCGCCCGAGCGAGCATTATTCCCCGCCTATGGCCCCGCCCCCTTGTGACTGCTGACTCCGCCCCCCTGTTGCACCCCCGGCCTGGCCCTGCCCTCACCGTGATCCTTCCCTCCTCCTCCTTGACTGGGGCACTGCCCTTCCTCCAGGTCACCGATGGCTCCGGGTGGCCGCGGGGGGGCACGCATTCCATCACTGCTGGCTCCCCCACTGCCACCACCACGTTCCCAGGAGACTGCCGGAAATCGTCGCGAAGTACTAGAGAGAGAAAGAGAGAGAGAGAGAGAGAGAGAGAGAGAGAGAAAGAGAGAGACTATGAGTACATATATGACTATGACCGTCTGCCCCGCCGCAGGTGAGAAAACACCAGGCCCAGGCGTGGGCATGAGAGACCAAAGGCGCAGTCCCAACGGAAGATGAATCGCCCGAGATGGGAGCTGGTTCTAGACGGGGTGGCCCGCGCCCTCCCGCACCCCAGACCCCAGAGCCGCTGGCT